AAAGATGAAATTATGAATGGATCCAAAACTGGCTGTAAACTGTTTGGGTTCTCCTTGACTGGAGAAACCCGAGTTCCCAACTCTCAGAGTTCTAATAGAAGTTGTGACAACATAAGCTACAATAGTAGCACGATTGGATATTAATTGCATTGCTGAAGTTCTTCTCGTTCGTCCTAAATAAATAAAATGAAGGTTTACAAGAAAAGAAAGTTGGTGGGAGGAGGCATTGATTCATCAAGACCGAATGGCTATTGATGATCTGCTGAAAGAACTGGAGCGACAATTCAACATTGGAAGACCTTCTAATTCTAATATAAAGGATGGCTAGTTGTTTGCATAGTGAGAATGATATATGATGATCGTGGGTGATGTTGCTTGACAGTGAGTTTCTCTATCTTATATCAAGTTGCTTTGTCTACGTATTTGTGTATTACTTATTGAAATGATCAACCTTCACCATTTATACTTGGACGGTTGGCAGCAAGTTATTTAATCCGGTATATATGTATACACCACACGAGGAAGTGTCAAGTGTGGAAGATGACAATTGGAATGGTCAGTGATGGTACTCAATGTCAAAGTTGTTTGGAAGAAGCASCTGCATTAMKGCTTGTATYGAAGACTTGAGMAAATAGTTAAGATTCTATTGTTGTCGCAGATTCTGTTGTAATTTGTAAACAGTAATAGAACAATAGCATTGTAAACAGTAAGACAAACAATAACATAAAATGATTAAGAGTAAACACTAAACATTGTAAACAGTAAACACTAAACATTGTAATAGAAGAAAATGGTTAGAGGACTCACCGCCGCCGCCAGTGATTGTATTCGCCAGAGAGTTCGCGGTGAGTCGGTGACTGTGGTCTGTGAGATGCGAGCTTGACTTGCAATTTTGACAATGATCAGTTCGCGTCTGAGAAAGAAAGAGAGAGAGAGAGAGAGCTCACCACCGCCGCCGGAGTTGTTGCGCCGGTGATCGTTCACTGCCTCGCCGATTGTGGCTGCCTGAGAGTGTGAGGATGAGAACTGTGGAGTGTGGAGGATGTGGAGATTGGAGAAGAAGGGTTCAACTGGAAAAAAGAAGGGAAATAGGCAAAGAGGTGAAAAAAGAGGGGTACTCGACTAGGGTTTTTACTTAGGTTTAATTATAGGTCGGGCCGGGCTTTTTGGCCCGAGGTTAAGCCTGCGGGCCCATATACCTGTTCAAGCCCGTCCAGGGGCCGGGCCGGCCCGTCGGGCCACCCGGCCCATGAACAGGTCTAGCTACAAGCCCATGTATTCCTACCACAAATTTTGCCAAAGCTTATACTTTTCTCTAGGTTGTCTCCAAAGCCACTTCCCTAATTCCTTTTTTGTAAATTGCCTAAGACTAAGCCTCCAAACTTTTTGCTTTTACTCACTATTTCCCAGCTCACCCTTTGATCCTTTTTATCCCTCTGGATTCCACAAGAAGTCCCTCATCAATTTTTCCAATTTCCTACTAACATTCATCGACATCTTGAAAACAGACATAAAATACATGGGAAGATTCGCCAAAGTTGCTCTTATTAATGTAATCTTTCCTCCTAGAGACAAATAATTTTTCTTCCAAGTAGCAAGTCTCTTAGAAAATCTTTCTACCACAGGGTCCCAAAAACTACTCTTTTTTGTGTTTGCTCCCAAAGGTAGCCCTAGATATCTCATGGGCCATTGTGACACTTCATGACTCAAAATGCTTGCATACTCCAACATTTCCCCTTCTTCCATATTAACACCTGCTATGCAGCTTTTATCAAAGTTCACCTTTAGATTGGAGATAGGCTCAAATAATTGGATTGTCAACTTAAGGTTTATGACCCAAGTTCTATCTCCTTCATAGAATAATAAAGCATCATCTGCAAATTGCAAGTGTGTAATTGAAACTCTACCATGTCCAACTTTCCAGCCCCTCAATAATTATTGTGAATCTACCTTAGAAGTTAACTTCCCAAGATCCTCAATAATTAATGTAAAAAAGGAAAGTAGAAAGAGGATCTCCTTGTCTAATTCCCCTCATGGCTGGAAAGAAATCCACTACTGTTCCATTCACTAGCAAGGAATAATGGCAAGTCCTTACACACCTTCTTATTCACTTGCACCATCTCTCCTCAAAACCAAAACTCCTTAAGACTTCCAGTAAGAAGGACCAATCCCATATTGTACGCTTTCTCCAAGTCCAACTTGCAAACGAAGCCTTTCTTTCCTTCTCTTCTAAAATCCTCCAACACTCATTCGCAATTATAATTTGATCGGTGATTTGTCTACCATGTACAAAAGCACCCTGATTTGGAGAGATACTAGAGGGGACAACAACCTTAATCCTCAATGACAGAACCTTAGCAATAATTTTGTAGACTGTTCACCAACCTTATGGGTTTAAACTCACGAGAATGAATTGCATCACTTTTCTTGGGCACCAAGGCAATGAAAGTAGAATTGAGTCCTGGATTGATTACTCCCCTTTCAAAGAATTCATCAAACACTGCCAACACCTCTTCCTTCTGCTGGGAGGTAGTTCTTAAGAAGATCAACACTTATGATATGTTTCAACATAGAAGGTCATTTTGGTGTCTTTCCCCTAATATTTGTATCCTTTGATATGGTTGTGGAGAGATGGTATCACAGCTTCTAATCTCCTGACCTTTTGCTTTTTATTCAGGAATGGTTTTCTTATCTCTTTGGTTGTAGGTGGAACCCTCCCTCTGATATGGCAGGACTTTTTGATGCAAGCTTCTTTAGACAATGTAGAGAGGCTAGGGAATAACAGAATTTTTTAGGGGCTAGGAAAGACTAAGGAAGAAATTATTGATAGCATCTCTATCAAGGTAGCATTGGGTGAAGACTCTTGACTTGTTCGAGGAATTTTCCATGGCTGATATACTAAGGGGCTTGAATGTTGTGGTATGCTCCAAGTTCAAGGTCTGTAATTCTGGAAGATTGGGCTCCATTGGCACATCAAAAGATTAGCTGAATTTTGATAGTTCTTTTGGTAATCTGGGTCCATCATTGGGTGAGCTCTAAGAGATGGAGAAGGAAGAGTGTTGGCTCTCTACTCCAGACCGACGACAAATGGGTTGACTGACTCCTAAGCTAAACAAGGGGTTACTAGGGAAGATCTCTTTTGAGCTTTGCTGTAATTTATCTCATTTAAGGGGTCAACTGTGTGACAATTGTACTTTGAAATTTTAATTTGAATGAAGTTACTGTTACTAATCAAACAAAAAAAAAAAAAAGAAAAACTGTAATCCTTTTGTTAGTTGTATTTGCAATGTAATTTATTTCATGTGGTTCAACGCATTAGATGAAGAAAGATTATTCATTTTTATTTTCTATTTTGGTGTTCTTTGGGAATTTTAATTTCTGATGGCTTTAATTTTTAGCATGAGTTTGTTGGGTTCTGGACTTGTCAATTCTTTCTGGATAAGCTCTTTTTTTTTATAAGTAATTCTGGATAAGTTCTCTTCCTGTCACTCAATTTTTGTATTTCTGTTTAAGCATCTTAGATATAAAAGATATTTTTAAGGTTATTTCTTCTTTTGTTTTCATAATTTTCTTAATGGGACTGACCTGTGTAATGTGTCATACTATAACTTCTCTATCTTTTTTTTCCCTGACAAAGTTCCCTAATAGTCACATGCTAACTTTGTTCTGAGCAGTTGTAGTGACAGCAGTAACAGAATTGGGCCATGGGAAACCAAAGTTCTACTCCACACCCGATATAATTGCGTTTTGTAGAAAGTGGCGCTTGCCAACCAACCATGTGTGGTTGTTCTCAACAAGGTGAGGATCTATGATATAAACCATCATGTTGATAGCAGATGGCACAGAACTAAACAATTAGAAATTGGTAAATGCTGGAGAAGTGTAGGGTTAATCCTGATTTGTCTTGATTGTTTGGTTGTGCGAACTTGTTTTTATTTAATGAAAATTTCCTTTTCTCAAAAAAGTATTTTTCTTTTTCTGGGATAAATAACTGGTATTCAGATTAATCATCATGTGTGAGAGGTTTAAAATTGCACATGAAAAAGTGAGGGGAGGAAAACCTATTTTACATGAGAACCACTAAAAATAAGCAATTATGCAAACTGATTCTTAAAATGACTTCACTCCTAGTGTTTTAGAAGCACAAGGCGTAAGAAAAAGCACTAAGGGCTTTTTTTTTTGTCTGAGGCATGTGCCTTTTTGAAGCGAGGCACACAATTTTAAAAATTTTCAAAAAGATTCAGAAATAAATAAAAGTTAAACATCTTGCATTCATAATTCTATGAGCCGCCTTTGTACCAAGCCCTTGAAGAAAGCTCAAACAAGTCCATGCTAGGCGGTTTCAAATGGTGAGGGGTATTTTTGGAAAATGGGGGCTTAGACCGAAGGGATTGAGAATCCATTTTGACAATAAGAGTTGAAGAAGAGAGGGAATTTTGACGAAGAGCCAAAGAAGAGAGGAGAAACTACAGGAAGATTGGGTCTAGGTTGTGACAAGATACGAAGGGAACAAGAGATAACAATAAAAGAGGGAAGGAAGATAGAGGAAGAAGATAACGACTCACCTGGAAGAGAAGATCTACAGAAGCTAAGGGATATAGAGGTGGTAGAGAATTTGATGCCACAATTGGAACAAAGGGACTGAGCCAATGATGGAGTCCACCCGCACCAAAGAGGTTTATCGACTGGTTTTCAAGGGTTGAATACCTGCACAAATGATCTAGTGGCTACTGTAGCTTGGAGGGGCCTTTGGGTGAGCAGATACCTGGTAAACACTTGAGATCATCACCCAATTGAATAATGAGCTTAGTTCTGGTCCTTTAGAAACTTCCAACCCAGGCGGAGGAGAATTAGCAAATAAAGGACCAGAAATACTTTATCGGCTGGTTTTCAGGGCCGGGTGGTCTCACCAATCTCTTTTATGTAAAATGCTAGGATATAGTTTAACAAGATTTGCTGAATGTCTTCCAGGCATTTTATGCAAATGCTTCTCTGCAAAGAAGTCTAAATACTACCTTTATCACTCTCATTCCAAAAATTGAAGGGGCTGTAAATATCAAAGATTTCAGGCCAATCATTCTCTTAACACAGTTTTTACAAGATCTTGGCTAAAGTTCTAGCTGAGAGAATGAAAGGGGTCTTAGGTAGTGACGTAGTGTAATTTCAAACAATCAAAGTGCTTTCGTCCCAGGAAGGCAGATGCTTGACTCAGTACTTATTGTTAATGAGCTTATTCATTCAAGAAGAAGAGAGGGAGTCCCCAACGTGGACATTGAAAAGGCCTACGACCATGTTAATTGGAGATGTATTGATTTTGTGTTGCAGCAGATGAATTTGGGTAGAAATGGAGGAATTGGATCAAAGTATGTATATCCTCTCCTAAATTCTCAGTCTTGATAAATGGTCAATCAACAGGTTTTTTTGACAGTTCAAGGGGTTTGAGACAGGGTGATCCCCTCTCCCCCTTGTTCTTTATTTGTGTTATGGAAATTCTTTCTCTTTTTTGCAAGAAGGCAGCTGATTTTGGTTGCTGGGAAGGATTTGCAATATCCCTTGAGGGGGAAAACGTCAATATTCTCCAATTTGCAGATGATGCATTATGCTTTGTGGATGCTTCCCCTGTTCAGTTGGATCTAGTGCTTGGGATCTTAACCTAGTTTGAGGTGGTTTTTGGGCTTAAAGTTAATTTGAACAAAAGTCAAATTATTTCAGTGGGTCAAGTTGCCAATTTAGAAGACTGCTGAGGTGCTGGCTTGTCAGACTGAATTCCTCCCTGTGAAATATTTGGGTCTGCCCTAGGGGGCAAATTGTTCTTCTTCCTCGGTTTGGGACCTAGTCATTGAAAGATTGGGGAATTAATTAGCTTCCTGGTAGCAAAATACCTCTCTTTTGGGGGCAGGGTAACTCTAATAAAAAGTACCCTTTCTAATCTGCCCACTTATTTCCTGTCTCTATTCCCTATCCCAAACAACGTATCAAAAAGATTGGAGCAGTTTCAGAGAAATTTCATTTGGAGGGGTTGGGAAGATGAAAACAAAATTCACCTAGTTAAGTGGGATTAAGTTTGCCTTCCTAAGGCAGAAGGTGGTTTGTGAATAAGGAAACTGAAGAGTTTTAATTCAGCCCTTCTCAGTAAGTGGATTTGGAGATTTTCTTCTGAAAGAAATGCTTGGTGGAGAACCATTATAGCTAGAAAATATGGAGTGGAGTGGGGCAATTGGAGATCTAGGGATCCTCCTCCAATTTGGGGTAACTCTCTTTGGAAAGGCATCATGAAGAATTTCTCTAATTTTTTGGAAGGAGTTTCACTCAAGATAGGCAAAGGGGATAGAACTAATTTTGGAAGGACCCTTGGTGTCTGGAAGGCCCACTAGCTGATACTTTTCCTCTCCTTTTCCAATGTTCTTCTAACCAAGATTCCTCAGTGGCAGAGAGTTATTGTTCTTCTGGAGACTCTATTATTTGGACCCCCCTCTTTAGGAGGAATTTTTTTGACTGGGAGCTGGAAGAGATTATGGAGCTGATAGGAGCTTCTACAAAAGCAAATGATAGATCTATCCTTGGAAGATGAATGGTGCTGGAAATGGAGACCCGATGGTTGTTTTTCTGTCAAGTCTCTAGCCTCTAAAATGTGCATCTCAGGCCTCACAAACTTCCCTGCTACTCAAATCTAGAATCCAACAAGCCCATCTAGTTCCAACTTTCTGGTGTGGACAATGGTCCTAGACAAATGCCTTTCCAGATCTAATCTTGAGAGGCGTGACATTCAAATTTTGGATCCTTTTTCTGGTCTTTGTGGTTCCCTCCCAGTATCTACAGATCATCTCTGTCTTCACTGCTCAGTCTCCTCGTAGGTGTGGGAGCATTTCCTGAAATCCATGGACATCAGCTGGGTTTGTTAGACAGTTTTGTATGCCCTTAGCTTCAATCAGAATGATGTACTTTATGAGTTTATTGTAAATGAATAAAAGTGCATATTTGATTCATGTTCCCTTGGTATGTTTCTGTGTAATACCCTTAAACTGGACACTTAATGAGACTCGTGTTAGTTT